GGACCTTGTCCATGAGGCTTTGGAACGTGGCTGGTGCGTTCGTAAGACCGAAGGGCATTACGGTAAACTCATAAAGCCCATCGCGCGTTTTGAACACGGTCTTGTGCTGGTCCGCAAGATCAACTTCAATCTGGTGGTAACCAGACTTGAGGTCGATCTTGGAGAAGACCTTGCACCCGCCTGCAGCATCAAGCAAGTCATCTATACGAGGCAATGGGTAAGCATTCTTTCTTGTGATGCGGTTTAGACCACGATAGTCAATATGCATGCGGAGTTTGCCTCCTTTCTTTGGCACAAACAACACAGGAGCACCAAATTCCGATTCGCTTGGTTTGATCCACCCTTTGTCAATCATCTCATCGATCTGCCACCGGAGTTCCTCCAACTCGCCGGGTCCCATACGGTACACACAGCCCTTTGGAGGAACAGCACCCTCGACCAACTCGATGGTGTGTCGAACCGGTCGCGTGGGGACTCCACGTGGTTCGGCCAAGACTTCCGGAAACCGATCGAGGAGGGCTTGGACGTCTGATGGGACAGGTGGGGGTGGGGAATCAGCAAAGGGATCACCAAGATCCGGTCGCAAGTCGCGAATAGAGACGACCGAATCTGAAGTAGGATCATTCAGACTATTAGAGGATAGAGAGATAGAGGTGCTAGTAGTAGAAGTACCAGAAGTGGATTCATCCATCGAAGTAGTAGTGGTATTAGCCGCAAAAGTAGAAGGCACATGAGCAGGACGAACAAAGGCAACATGCAATTGTTCTTCCTCTTTGTGCTTGCGCCACTTCTTGCAGAATTTCAATGCATTCAGAAAAGTCACTGGGGATTCGCGCTTCTCATCCAAGAGGACAGGAAGCTCGTTCCCCTGATCATCTTTGACCATGAAGAGTGATTCCCTCCACTTGGTCCATTGGCATTGGGACTGCAGCCAGCCCAAGCCAAGGACAGCGTCGAAGGGGCACTTATCGAGGACAAAGAAGTTCAGTGCATGGGTGACAGTCTTACCTTTGTCAAAGGTAGTGCGCACACCTTTGACTGCATGTGTTGATGAGACAACTTCTTTGTTGCCAACTTGGGTCCGGCAAGGGTTCTGCAGGGCCACTTGCTTCATTCCCAAGCCCACCTTGCGTATCCCATGTGGTGACATGAAGTTAGTTGTAGCACCACAATCAACTAACACACGGAGATAGCGGTGGTTGATGAGAAGCTTAAAGAAGATTAACTTCACTGTCCCTTGGGCCCGCTGCTGTTTCATTTCAGCCCAATGCTCCAAGTGGTAGTGGAAGTCAATCATCTCGAACTCCTCCCAAGGCTCATCATACAATACGTTACTTACCGCAGCCTTGTCTTCAGCAGATGGTTGGGCTTCAAGGGAGGGCTGCTGATTGTCAACAGAACCAGCTTCCCTTGCTGTAGAGTTTGTTGAGTCTGACTCTACGCCCGATTCTGGTTTCCCTGCAGCCGATAACAGTCTTCAACTTTATGATTCGGCTTTTGGCAATGCAGGCAAACCCCCTTCTTGAGTCTGCCCCGCCAGTCATTTTCAGTGATCCGGAGGTCCACCCAAGGTTTGGTAGATGCATCCTCCGGTTTAGGCGGGATCTTAAGTCCTTTGGGGAGTTGGACATAACTCTTTCCGACACTCCGATTTGGTCGCTTAGTGTTGGCAGTCTTTTTAAAGGCAGAGAATTTTTCTTCTTCGTTATTTGCATCGGACTCATGGGCTGAAGAACAAGCTGTATCGGAGTCCTGTTCTTGGTCGTCACCAAGAGTGGGGTCAACCGCATCGGCTCCTTCTTCGGCCTCCAACAGGTCATGCACAGCCAAACGGTTGCTGCCTTTGAATCGTCTGCCGCCCATGGGCTTTTTGCTGCCTGCCGTGCTAACAAGGTCCATGGCCTCCAGACCGACTACATCCTTCATTAAGGCAAGCCAGTCCGTATACGCAATGTAGCCCGTGCCCAGGCGACTAGTGAGGTGAGTTGGGACTGCGCCCTTGACCACATCCAAGCAAGATTGAGGGGACAATTCCAGACCAGGAGTGGCAAACAGCTTGCTTAGACAGGTCTGCAGGCTTTTCATGGAGCCATTCCACTTGGTGTGCTTTACTTTATCCAGTTGGATTCTTGCTTTAGCAGCAACATGTGGATCTTGGTATTCTGAGGTAAGGAGCTCTTCGAGGGAGGCAACCGGGGTGGCCCTTAGCCATTTGGCCAGTGCAGCCTTTGGAAACCCAGCCCGCGTTGCTTGGACTTCTAGGAAGCCTCGTACGACTGGCTCGACATTCATACCCATGATAACAGCCTGGGTCTCAGTTTGAGTCCCCAGAATCTCGAAGTAGGGCCGCATAGAGCCAATCCAGGATTCGATGTCTTCTTTGCCATCGTACTTGGACGGCATTTGAACCGACTTCCGGTCCACATAGGGACCTGCGTAGCTGGGACCAGCAGCAGCTGGTTCCGATCCTGGGGCTGCAGCACTTGAAGAAGTTCCAATCTCATTTCTGGTTACAGCAACAGTGGAATCTGCACCTGCTGCAGGTCCTGAGGAAATTGCCATCACACTCGAAGAAGAGGTAGAAGAAGATACAGTAAGAGGGGTAGAAGTAGTTCCGATTGCAGCTCCGGATCCAGCGGGTAGAGGGAGAGGGTTGGCCACTTGGTCTTGTCGCAGATCAGCCACCTCCTTGGTCAAGTCATGGTACTTGCGGGTCATCTCAGTCAGATCATCCTGAAGAGTGTGCAGCTTCGCAAAAACTTCAGCGATCTGAGTGGTATGGTCCTCAAGATTTCGGACTTGAACCAAGGCTGTGAGTATGGACTGCAGTTGTTCCCCACACTGCACTTCAGTCAGTGAGGGGATAGTCTCTAGGAGAGCCACTTGCCTTCTTAGCATGGTCTCCTTCCTCTCCTTCTCTGTCTCCTGTTCCCGTTTTATAGCACCATCCAAGAGTGCTTGCAGATGTGGTTTCTCAGCATCACTGGCTGCATTTAACAAGTCCCGCCACTGTGTTGAAGTTAGGTGGGCCATTTTCGGGCTGTCAGTATGGACAGGTGGGTCAGAGAGTCGCCAGTCAGCAAAAGAATCAATCAGACTCTCAAGAGGTTCACTCCCCCTTGCGCCCAGACGAACACTCCTTTTCCCAGTCCTTGCCCACTTCAGACTGTCACTTTCCCTCTCTCCCTGTTCTCTCTCCCTCCTCTCTCTTTCTTCTTTCAGATTGCGAGTCTCCACGGACATCGGAAATGAACTCAAAAAAACAGATAAGCTTAGAGAATAGAAGGTAGAACTCCTAGCCGGAGCGGCATTTCATTTGGAAGCAGAGAACAACAAAAAGAAACAATCAACACTCAAAGAGAGGTCTGATCCCGCGACCCCGTCTGATCAGGCTGCATACGAGGTCCTCTCGAGTCCAGCCTGACCAGCTCCGCGTCCGTGCAGCAAATCAGACAACAAGTGACCAAATGCAGCAATGGAGAATTGAGTGGTGTACAGGGTGCGAGTCAAGCCACGGACGGCGTAATCAGAATGCAAGCGAAACGTCAAAGCCAAGATCCCCTCGGCAGTGGGTGTCCTAATCCAAGAAGAATGAACTCGTATCCCAGCCAAGAAGACAGGAGGTCAATGCCTAACCGAATTGGGTCCAGGGGCTCTCCTTGTTTGGGCCCGGTTCCGCTGGGTCCCAAGGGTCCTACGTAGGTCTCAACCAAGTCCCAACCAAGAAGAGTCCCACCTGAACTTAGTTCAATCTCAACTTCACTGAAAAACGAAATTTCAACTTCTGGCAGAACCTACAGACTACAACCGTTCAGTGATGAAAAGACAAAGCACTGTAGAAAGACTCGGCATGTATAACAAGATACTTCATTTTCCATCCATCAGGTAAGTAGGTAGATCACATGCATTCAGTCACATACTTCATTTTCCATCCATCAGGTAAGTAGGTAGATCACATGCATTCAGTCACCCAATCAAGACCACAGAGGAGTAGGAAAAGAAACCCA